GTCAACAGCACCTCTTACTTACATTGACATATTTTCCGAATATTACCAATATTCAGCACAGCCCTTCTAATTACTTGTCCACATTCCCTTCACCGTGGGTTGTGTTGTGATGTTCGGTTTATAATTGTAGCCTATAGATCGAATCGAAAATAGAACACAAAAAATAAGTTTTCGATCCACTTCATCCCATAATTATTATCTGATCATCACCGAAAATTATAAGCGCTGTCCTTGAGCATAACTGGAACCTTAAGGAACATTTCAAATCGATCCGCGCTATATTTCCCCCCTCTAGTGTTGTAATGGTTTATTAAATAACATCTGAATACGTAAATACCTGTAAATATTTACGTATAACTCTCACATCCGAGTACATACGACAATGTAATTGGTATCAATTTAAAGGTCAATCACTCCTCTTGGATGTACTATCAACTTATCGGGTCTATGTCCTTCAGAGGCAAATATATACGCCATAGAATAAAAATTTTGTAATTTTTCACACAAAAGCAGGTTCCATTTGACCCTCTAAATATTGACCAATATTTATCAAAAAAGGCATAATTGTTCTTTGGCCCAATCCCCTTCTTCATGTAAGAATTGTAGATGTTTGGGCCATAATTGCGGCCTATGGAGCGACCAGAAAAACCGACAAAATTAAGTATTTGGTCCATTTCATACCCTAAATATTAACCGATCTTTATCAAAAACAATAGGGGTCTTCATTAGGCTAAACCCTTCCTACATGCAAAATTGCGTGAAGATTGGTCCGTAACTGTGGCCTGCATCGTGTTTACAAATAATAATGGACAGACGGACGGACACACATGTCTAGATCGACTCAGCTAGTCGATATATGACGATCGGTATACTTAAAGGTGGGTCTAGGACCAATATTTCGCGGTGTTACAAACTATTGGGACTGCACAAATCTATAATACCCTGACAACATAGTTGTGCAGGGTATAATTATCTCACTACCCAAAACTACCAATATTGATCCCCGTTTTGGTATATCCCCATACAACGTTAGCCCCCTATTAGGTAATCCTATTTTTACCCTTCACCACACTGTGGTACAGGGTATTATATCTTTGTGCATATGTTTTTAACAGGCAAAAGGAATTGAGATAGACTCATGGTTCCTTTTGGGAATATGCATAGAATCACTTTCTGAGTCGATTTACGCATGACCGTTTGTCTGTCCGTCCATGTATTTTTGTGAACAATGTAAGGTCGCATTTGTGATCCGATTTGAATGAAATTTGGCACATGTCACTTATTTGGCTCAAGGACGAACCCTATTGAAATTGGAGAAAATCGGTTCAGATTTAGTTATAACTCCCATATATAGTTTAGTCCGATTTTATGTAAATGGAGTACCATACTGCCCACATTTGTCCGATTGAGATACAATTTTGCACAGCGTATTGAATTAGGTCCAGATTGATGTATACGAAGTTTTGTTGAAATCTGTTCAGATTTAGATATAGCTCCCATATATAGTTTCTTCCGATTTTATGTAAATGATGCACCATACTATAGATGTTTGTTCTATTGAAACAAAATTTAACACAGAGTAATTAATTAGGTCTAGATTGATGCATGACAAGTTTTGTATTGCAGCATAGTTGTGTAGGTATACTAACCTAAAAATACGTTTACATTGCACCGGATTTGGTAACCCAGTGGGTTTAAATTGTCAATTTCTTTGAATACAAATCCTCATAAAGTAGGTTAACCCGGTAAAAAGTTCTAACGTAAATGCCGTGTAAGGGTCTGAGAATTTTATTCCTGATGGTTGAGAAAAAAAGATTCCATAGACAGAAAAATATGAGTCTCTGAAACTAGATGTCAAAATAATGTTAATGATTTAAACAATTAAACTTTTTAATACTTTATGTTTATTTGATATATGCAAAAGAATTGACAATTGAAACCCACTGGGTTAACGAAATCCGGTTAAATGTAAACGTACTATTATATCCTAGATACATATAGATATCTACCCACCTTTATATAGAAAATTCAGTTTAGAAGTGTACCACAGTGTGGTAAAGAGTATAAAAATCAATATAAATTCACATTACATCTGACCCTAGAGTTTCTTTCTTTAACAAATACTGTTCTTCATTCCATTCGATACAGCCGTACCCCTTACAATCCACTGTTGTTGTTATTCCCCTTTTTTTCGCAACAACCACATAAAAAAGGAGCCATCGAAAATAAAATAACAACAACGATTCACGAACAATGTGAATGACAACACAAAGCCATGTAACCGGAGGAGAATTCTCGGTAAGAATCAACAGTAAAATGTTAACAAATTGATAATACCGTTACACAAATGAATACTCAATAAAAATATTAAAGGAAAAGGTTTACGTTGGTTTTTCGTTTCTTCTTTTTTATTGTATTTTATTTGGTTATTGCTATTTTTCGTTATCCGATTTCATATTCCACACAAAGATACACACGCACACACAAATGAATAATAACAATAAGATTTTACGATGAATGAATTATTTAAATATTACTACAAATACATACATATATATGTGTGTGTGTAATATTGCATGTAAAAAATGTATAACATGTATGAGCGTGTGTGGGCGATGTAAAATATATAGGTTGTGTGTAGAAAATCGTTTCTTTAATTTAATATTAAATTAAATTGTTGCAAAATTTGGTAATAGTAATAAATATTTTGAATTAATAAAAAGGTATGTTTGCTAATTGTACCCTTCCCCACACTGTGGTACAGGGTATTATGTCTTTGTGCATATGTTTGTAACAGGCAAAAGCAAACGAGATAAACACATGGTTGTTTTTGAGAATATGCATAGAATAACTTTTTAAGTCGATTTATGCATGTCCGTCCGTCTGTCTATGTTAAATTGTAAACAAAGTACAGGTCGCATTTATGATTTGAATAGCATGAAATTTGGCACATGTTACTTATTCGGCCCAGGGACGAACACTTTTGAAATTGGAAAAAATCGGTAGAGATTTAGATATAGCTCCCATATATATCTGTCCGGTTTAATGTAAACGTTTCTTATATATCTTTCAGTTGCAAGAAATTTGGTACAGCCTAATGATTTAGGTCTAGAATGATGGGTGTTAAGTTTCGTGGAAATCGGTTCAGATTTAGATATAGCTCCCATATATATTTTCGTCCGATTTAAGGTAAATGGTGCACCAAAGTCCCTAAATATCTTTCGATTTGCACGAAATTTGGCACAGCGCACCGGACTGGGCCCAGAATGCCGTGTGCTAAGTTTCGTGAAAATCGGTTCAGATTTAGATATAGCTCCCATATATATTTTCGCCTAGAACGATGTGTGCTAAGTTTCGTGAAAATCGGTTCAGATTTAAATATAGCTCCCAAATATATTTTCGTCCTTTTTAAGATAAATGGTGCACCAAAGTCCCAGAATATCATTTGATTTGCACAAAATTTCGCACAGCGTACTGAATTGAGCCTAGAATGATGTGTGCTAAGTTTCGTAAAAATCGGTTCAGATTTAGATATAGCTCTCTTATATATTTTCGTCCTATTTAAGGTAAATGATGTACCAAAGTCCATAAATATTTTTCGACATGCACGAAATTTGGCACAGCGCACCGGACTGAGCCCAGAATGCCGTGTGCTAAGTTTCGTGAAAATCGGTTCAGATTTAGATATAGCTCCCATATATATTTTCGCCCGATTTTAGGTAAATGGTCCACCAAAGTACCTATATATCTTACGATTTGCACGAAATTTCGCACAGCGTACTGAATTGAGCCTAGAATGATGTGCGCTAAGTTTCGTGAAAATCGGTCGGGATTTAAATATAGCTTCCATATAAATGATGCACTAAATATTTTCTTCCGATTTAAGGTAAATGATGCACCAAAGTCCCAGAATATCATTTGATTTGCACAAAATTTCGCACAGCGTACTGAATTGAGCCTAGAATGATGTGTGCTAAGTTTCGTAAAAATCGGTTTAGATTTAGATATAGCTCCCTTATATATTTTCCTCCTATTTAAGAACAAACTCCTAATGTTTGTCCTTTTAACACGAAATTTTGCACAACGAATCAAGTTGAGACTTGAATGACGTTACTGGGCTCTCTTGAAATTGATTCAGATGCAGCCATGTATTTCGAACGGGTGTCTGATTGAAATCAAAATTTTAACAGGGCGGCGTAAGAATAGCGTGCATCAATTTTGCTATAAATCGTTTTCCATAAATTTGGCCCATGGTACGTAGCCCGAATGAGATTAAATTTATCATAGGTTGGAGCAAGACATGAGTATGTTCTTACAAGGGAACATTGACATTGTAATGATACATATGTACAATATACCCAAAGTGGATACTTACTGGTTTAATTTACATCACTTCGTGGGTGGTGGATATCCCATTAAATGATAATTAAAAGCGGGGTTTTACTAATTTTTTTAAGGGGACCCTCCATTCTCGGGGTCAAATTTTTTTTTATTTAATTCGAATCTACACTAATTTAAGAATGTCCATACAAAATTTCAAGTGAAAATCTCAAGAACTCTTGAAGATATAGCCGATTTATTGTGTCAGCATCAAGTGACGGCTGAAGGACTTCTCAAACTTTAAACGCGTTTTTCTCTTTTGCGAATAGCGGGCACGATAACTCAAAAACTAATAACCCAAATTTTTACACGTTTCTCTGTGAGTGTATAGCTATCGTATGAACTAGGATAAGGTCAATCGGTGAAGATCTTCCTTATTTTTTGACTTGGTTTTTGGTCAAAAATCGGCGATTTTTCAAAATATTTTTTCAAAGGTCCGCCAATTTCTTTCCCTTAAATGGTTTGTTCTCTTTTCGGAAAACGGATTTGAAAATAGTTTTATTTTTTTATTTCAATTAAATGTATGCAACTAGTAATATATGGTAAAATTATTCATTTAACGGTTAATAATAAAATAAATTATATATAAAATTAATATATTCAAACATGTAATTATGTCTTTACTGATAAATCTGCTTGGACGGACCCAAAACAGTCACCGTTCCATTTTCATAGGCGACAACCTTCCCAGTATTTATAAAATTATTTTGACCAGGTGATAAAATCCACAGTTGACCAATAATAATACCCGATGTTTGTTGAAAATATTTCATTGGGTTATCACAGGACTCCATTAGGACTTGATTTTTAGAATTCGTAATACGAAATTTACATCCCGGGGTAATTATGCTTTTATTGCTTTGCTTTTCATTCACGTTCTCTAATTTATCTAATTTCATTTTGCATTTTGTAATATGTTTATTTTCAAATAACGAATGACCAGTTATTTCAAACCATTTGGAAAAAGTTGCCGTGGACAAAGAATCACCACAGGATATCATTAAGCGTATGTGTTTGGTACAATAATCCTTAATGTAATCCACCATACGATTATCCTTGGAGAATATTTTTTCATGTTCCATAATAAGATATTCAAAAATAATGGATTCTGCCACCAAGACATTTACACGTTCCTTTACTGCTACATTAATACCCAAAATTATTGACCAGGCCTTAACGGGATCAAATGGATGGTGGATTTGTAAGGTACTTCCCGTCACTAGCGGAAATAGAATATTACTTATATGACTACTACCACTGAATGATGGTAAAATATTCAAAACCCGATCGCATCTGGACATATTCCACACTTTTGCAATATCTTTCATTTCCGAATTTATATGATTATGTGTAAGGGTGGAGCTCGGTAACTCATTATTATCCCGTTTCCCATTCATACAATATATTTTCATTGCATCAGCATTGTTATAGAAATTATTTTGTAGCAGACCTTCAAAAACTACCTGCTTATCGGCCATAAAAATTTCACGATTAAAATTAAAGGAATAATTTTGATTTTTGGCAAAATCATAATCGACTGTAATTAATACGATTTCTTGGGATCTAGCAAGGTTCTGAGCCAATTCCCTGGTATGTTTTGGAGTGATCAATAATTGGACTTTTGATTCAATTAGTATTTGTTGCAGATTTTCATAAGTCCATTGTAGTTTTAACGGTATTGCCACTTGGCCGGAAATCCAACAGGCCCAGAGGTTTAATATTGTTAGGACATCATTGGAAAAGAAGAAGCCAACTGAGGAATTTGAACCACTACCTAAAAATATATGATGTGTGGATTTGTTTAAATAATTTTTTCAGGGACCATAACAAGGCGTGGATTTTTTAAAGAATATTTTTTCAGGGACCATAACAAGGCGTGGATTTATTAAAGAATATTTTTCAGGGACCATAACAAGGCGTGGATTTATTAAAGAATAGTTTTTCTGGGACCATAACAAGGCGTGGATTTATTAAAGAATAGTTTTTCTGGGACCATAACAAGGCGTGGATTTATTAAAGAATATTTTTCTGGGACCATAACAAGGCGTGGATTTATTAAAGAATATTTTTTCTGGGACCATAACAAGGCGTGGATTTTTTAAAGAATATTTAAAAGAATATTTTTTCTGGGACCATAACAAGGCGTGGATTTTTTAAAGAATATTTTTTCTGGGACCATAACAAGGCGTGGATTTTTTAAAGAATATTTTTTCTGGGACCATAACAAGGCGTGGATTTTTTAAATATTTTTTCTGGGACCATAACAAGGCGTGGATTTTTTAAAGAATATTTTTTCTGGGACCATAACAAGGCGTGGATTTTTTAAAGAATATTTTTTCTGGGACCATAACAAGGCGTGGATTTTTTAAAGAATATTTTTTCTGGGACCATAACAAGGCGTGGATTTTTTAAAGAATATTTTTTCTGGGACCATATTTTTTAAAGAATATTTTTTTCAAGGCGTGGATTTTTTAAAGAATATTTTTTCTGGGACCATAACAAGGCGTGGATTTTTTAAAGAATATTTTTTCTGGGACCATAACAAGGCGTGGATTTTTTAAAGAATATTTTTTCTGGGACCATAACAAGGCGTGGATTTTTTAAAGAATATTTTTTCTGGGACCATTGTACAAGAAGCTGCAAGAACCTTAATGTAAATGAAAACGTTTGCAATTTTTATTTTATAAATTTTGAAAAAGATTGCCACTTTTTATTGAGGGGAAATACCAAAGGTATGCGTCCATTGATTTTGTTTATAGGTCGATTTTTTATTTCTATTCAGAACAAATATTTTCATAGATGCCCATACTCGAAATACGTTTTGCAATATGAAACATTAAGCGACGAAAGCAATGCAAGAGTACATGGTAAGAATAATGGAACATCGTGTGAGGAAAACAGGAATAAACAAGTGAAAAAGCGTTAAGTTCGGCCGGGCCGAACTTTTGATACCCTCCATCATAGATATACTAAAAGGTAGTTGAAATGAAAATGAAGGGAAAATACCAAACAGAGGACCTATACCGACAACTCTACAACGCGATTATGTAAACCATAATGTGAACCATGTTCCACAAAATAATGATCTCATCGAACCTGTGCCTATCTTATTATTCTTCCAAACTTAGTTCAGGTTCGAAAATTTGGACTATCGGTCCACTCCCTCTGATACCTCCCACACAGGGGCTAGGACTAAATGCCGGATATAGTTCATATAGTTCATTATCGAACCTCAAGTTCTAGTTTTTTATCTCGATATCCTCCGAAGGTGAAATGATTACAACAGAGAACCAAACCCAAAACGCGGAACAAATCAGATAACTATTTTAAAATAAATAAAGAAGGGGGTTATATTGGGGACTACTCCAAAATGGTGGCGAATATAAATAATTTTTGGTAGGGAGATTTATTACCATATACAACTACAAAATACCAAATTGCAGCGAAATCGGTTGGAAAACGCGATCAACAACCCCAAAATACCGAAAATTGGGGGTTCCCTTATATGGGTGCTATCCGAAAAAATGGACCTATATTCATAATATTTTGTGGAGAGATTTGGGACCTATTAAGAACTCAAAATATTAAATTACAGCTAATTCGGCGGAAAAATACGATCAAAATC